TGAAAAGACATGAGTTTTGGGGCACCAGGGGTGGAATGTTGTGGACTGAATTATGACCCTCCAAAACTAATTGAAGCTTGCTTGTGTCCTCCATGTTTTATGTATTAGAAACTTAGCCCCCACTGTGACTGTTAAGAGGGTGGGAAATCCTAGAGCTTGCTTGTGTCCTCCATGTTTTATGTATTAGAAACTTAGCCCCCAAAGAGGGTGGGAAATCCTATTATGGTAATTGAAAGGTGGAGCCTCAAAAAGGTTGGATTGTAGAACCGTGCAGTACTGAATGGACTAAAAAATGTGGTCAGGGGTGTGATTCTGAGGGCTTTGAAAGAAGAGGAAAGTCTGTCTTTCTCTCTCTCTCTTGCTCTCTTTGCTTCCACCAACTTGCAGTGTGAGACCCTGGGTCACTGTCGCCACCACCAGATGGACTTTGGATTTCCCAGCCTCAGAAACTGTAAGCAATAAATTTTTTCTTTATAAATCATCCAATTCCATGTACTTTGTTATAAACAACACAAACGGACTAATACAGTACCCTTACTCTATCCTCCATCTCTCTTTACCTTTCTTTATATTTTCCATGTTTCAATTTCTTTGTGATACACTATGGACAATTTATTCAAATATATCTTTTAGTATGTACTGTCTCCAGCAGTTTCTAATCTTTCTTTGTCCTATCCTTTATTAGACCACCTATATTATTCCAACTATTTTATTTTCACTTTCATATGTTCTATATGGTTCCTTTTCAAATATTTCTGGTCAACATCAATAGCTTCTTATCAATTCTTCATATTTTCAATGTATTCTTTATGCTTTAAGTATTTTTTGCTTGTCTGATTCTGTCATTTATTGCTACTGTTGACTCAATGGCTGTTTCCATTTAATTTTCTATATTATTATTAAAAATCCACTTTAACAATAAATTATTATTTAATAATTATTAACTATTTAAATAGTTATTAAATAATAATTTATTATTATTAAAATGGAATTTTATCTTTGGTTATTCTTCCAGGTCTGCATTTAGAGACCATACACCAGAATGATTTACCTGTGCCTCACCCAGTTGCCTGGGGTCACTACCAATTAGAGAATACTTTATACTAAATTTTTGGCTTAAAGTTTGTTGGAACATTTTAACAATGTGGATTCAAGCCTAAATTCACCTGAAAAAATAACTTTAGAAATTCTAAGAGAAGATATATTTTAACACTATTTCTATCTGCAACGTAAAGTTTCTCTTTCTAGCTTCCTCCTTTTTAGTTCACCCTTAAGGGGTCCTAAATTTTTATAGTTTTCACTCCTACGATGGATGCACCCTGTTTATGACCCAGACTTTGTCTCTTATTCCCCCATTTATGGGCCACCAAAGCTCAAACAAGGCAGGGCTTTGCTTATATCTCAGGGCAGATGCCAGCTCTAATGCTTCCTTGCTTTTCTGGACTCTCTGTCATTTTGGCCTCTGAGGAAATCCCATTATTCCCCATCTGTTCAAACATGTATTAAAATAGATGCTTTCATTTTATATTGTTTTGTTTCTAAACATGGCATATTCCAGGAAGTATTTCTCTAAATATATAGTTTACCATACTGCTGGAAGCTGAAGCCTCATATTTTCACTCTTTACAACCAATTGTTTTCTTCACAGAAGCTTCAATTTATTGGGTAGTTACTATGTGCCAGGCACTAAGTTCTGTCTATCTATCTGTCTGTCTGTCTATCACCTTATTATTAAAACAAATAGTAACGTTACACTGGAGGAAAGTAGCACGGAAATATTTGAGGGAAAAAAAGACCAGTTAAGAGATTCTATTACTGTCCCTAGAAATATACTACAAATATATTCTAGATCTTAGTTTTATTTTGCTTTAGATTTTTTGTATTAGAGATTAGAGGACAGACTAAACACGTTTGACTGACTTGCTTAAATCACTCTTTGGTTAATAGCAATGAACAATGGCATGCATTAGTTTTCAAGGAAGAGTGCACAGACCTATTAATTTTGCCCAAGACTTCCTTAACAACCACATCAGTTCCATATTACAATAATCCTCTAAATTACCGAGGCAGTGTAGTATAAAGGAATGGGAAATTACATAGATATTATACTTTCGTCTGGACCATTCTCCATCAGAAATATTCTATAAATGTAATTAACACTGCTCCTTCCAGTCAGCCTATCCCCTTTATTGTGATGACAAATCCTTGACAAAAGTCCAGACTCCTGTTAAAGCTGGTATCGTCCTTGTTCTGTTCAGTTTGCATAATAAAAGAAACCCCAAAAAAATCTGTGTTAAGATCCCAAGTATTACAGAATTGACAGGAAAAATGAGAACTGGGGAGAAAGTGTTGCTCTTTTGCTTCTGTGTGCTAAATGGACTAGAATCATCCCAAATATTTGCAGAGCCCAGGGCAAGAGTAGAAATGAAGACTTACACACCATATATCTAAATATTTAAAAGTTATAAATCAAGCTGACAAATATACCTGTGAGTTTATATAATGAATATACCTCATACAAAATAACATAAAACACCAGGTTTGTATTTAGAATTCTGGGACAACTCAGAAGCATGAAAACACTCAGGCTCCTGAAATGAAGTGTATCCTGCTTCTCTTCCTATTCCCTGTCATGTCCTAAGGCTCATGAGATACTATGCACATGTATAGACAGGACAGCCCACGTTCTCCACCTTCATCAACATCTTGCAGCTTCCCCATCACCACCTTTCTGATAGCAAGATGCACCCTTTGGAAGATTATCCTGGGGGAGAGGTGCATACAGCCCTGGAAATAGCCTCAGGGTGATTTCAACAGCAAAATTTAGCACCCCAGATCCTAGAGCATGCTCCAGGGCCTAGCATGCACTAGCCTTGTGAAGTCCTTGCCCAGGGCAAATCTCTCAAAACACAAGGTTTGCTGCAATAGTCTTGCATTGCTGGTCTGAGAGTTGTACTGATTGATTCAAGGAAAAGAAAGCTCAGAGATTGGCATTAGACCATTCAACAAATATTAAGTACCAAGTGCAAGGGATATAAGGAAGGAAAGACATTATTGCTTTTTGCTTGAAAACACTCATAACCTAATAGGAGAAGAAATAAGCTAATCATTATGCATAATATAATTGCGTGACAGAATGCTGGTGGGTGTCCAAGTAAAAAAGTTCACTCTAAAACTAGTATTCTCAGTGACACCTCTCTGGGAAACACATGAGCACAATTTTTCTGTTCTGAAGCAGAAGGAAACTGCTCCTCAACATTGAACAATTCATCTTTCATTCCACAGTGGTGCCAGTGTGGGTGCTAGCCACATGCAGTGCTCCGGATTGGCTCTCCTGCTCATAAGGAGGAATGCTAGCAGTAACAAAATGTTTAAGAAATCTTGTGACCACTCAGTGCCAAGCTAGAATGTCAGTTGAAGCATCTGTGAGGGACACAATAGAGGAACGCAATTCAAGCTTCAGTGAGTTTTGGGGGGACATAATTCAATCCACTACAGTCATCTCCTATCTTTTCTTATTTGGGGGTTTGCTCTCCCTCCTCAATTAGTAGTTTACCCCCATTTAAACCAATTGCCTTTTCCCTAAATCACAAATATGAAAACAGGATGAGCTAATGCCATTGTTTACTTAGTCCTTTAAACAAAGCTCATTACCATAAGAAATTTTCATTTATTCAGGAACAACATGTGTACAGTCGCACTCAGGTTTTCCTTCAGATTTTTCTCAATCCTCATTGATTCTTCAGCATTTAACATGCAATAAAGATGCACACTAAGAATCTGTACTTCAAGGAAGATATCTTGGATTGCCTTCTTGGAACCCTTCACTCTTCATCACTAGTTGAATGTTATAAGGACACAGATCTGTTTGTTAAATTAAATTTATATGATGTCTCCTTATCAGCTTCCATTTAGACAGAGCCCAACTCACCTATTTTCTTACTTCCCTCTCAAATCTATCTCACCAAGATATTTTTCTAGCACAGTTTTCATTTTTATCTGCTCTGCTTGTAAAAACAAAATGACTGTATCCCTATGCTCTTAAAAGGGGTGCACAGAGCACCATTAGAAGCCAGAAACTAGAGTTTATTACTCCCAAAATTGGAATCTCATCTTATAAAATATTTTAAAATAAAGTATTCCTAAGAACCCTGATTCCTTCCTCTTCAATAAATATTGAACAAAAGTCTATCAATGACCACAAGATGCATGGAAATATAAATGAGCGTGTCCCAAAGTCTTAGTGAAGTTCAAAGCATTAGTAAACTCAGAAGTATAAATGCCACAAACTTCAAAAACAGCATTTGAAAGGTCACTTATATTGCTTTCATACTTGTATTTAAGTTTGAAGCATAAATTTTTAGCTTTTTGTTTCACTCTGCAGATGGTTAATTTTGACTGAAATCTTAAAAATTAAAAATGTATGATTTAAAATACACAACTCTGAACAAATACAAAGGAGATGGAAATAAGTTTTCAAGCGACGTCTCTCTTACATTTGTCAGCATTTACTTATACTTCTGGAGCTACTAACACCTTAAAACTTCACTAAGATTTTTAGGACACCATTGTATTAATTTACTATTTTCTTAAACATGTCTTTTTCTCGAATATGATCGTAAAATTTTTTATTTTCATGGTAAGAAAATGTCTGTTTTTCAGTTTTGAATGTAGCACGTCTCAGCAGATAGATTTTGGAGTTGCCAATTAAAAGATATTCTTTAGTAACTGCCCTGCATAATAAACCAATCTTTGTCTTTTTCAACCACACATCAAAGTATATTGGGATTTCTCATCATCAAACTGTAACCTTGGGACTTTACTGAATTTGTTTACACTTTATGTGTTATCATTGCTGAGGGCCCAGCTTAAAATCCAGGTGAAGAAAGAAAAAGTGAGGTTTCTTCCATAAAGAATATTGCAAAACAGAGATCAAAGGCACAATTCTACTCCTCAATCTGTGCAATCTAACTTGGTTTACAATTAAAGAACGATTTTAATCGTTAAAGTTTTAAATTTTATTAAATGTTTGTGGTAATGCACCAAATGAATTACAGACCTATATAAATACACAGGCAGCTGTTTGTAATTTGCATTTTTATCAGTTTTGAAAGAGCACAATGTACTTCCTGCATCCTATTTTCAGAATTTGCACTTTTATCATCTTGACTATCCAGTATGTAGTATGGAGGACTTGAATATCTCTTTCTTTGAATTTTCATTTTTGATTGTAAATCAGATGATGTCTGGCACTTTTCTCTTTTCTAATTTTTCTCTTCTCTCAACTCCCATTTCTTTACTTACTCCCATTTCTTCTCGGCTCTAATAATAAAATATACAAAATATTTCAATTATTTTCTATTTCAGACTTCTTTGGCCACCAGAATTTTGTTTTTCTTTTGCTAATTACTTGCCACAAATCTAAAGGCAATACAAAAACGAAGTTTATCATTTAAATTCATATATTTTCAAAATGCCAAACTTAATCCACTTCTTTCTGATGTTTACTGTGTTTTGCATTTGGATGGAGGATTGGAAAGGAATGGAAATGATACTATATATAATGCTGCACTGCAGGACACCCAGAACGAACAAAATGAGCATTTCACTAGATGGGGACAGGCACCTCCATTCACACCAGCTACATCTCTATCAGAAAGGACATGCGGCCTCAAGGGAAAGCCAACAATGAGAATGACCCCTCTAGTCCCTTTAGCGCCTGCCCTCTATTCCCACGGATGCTCGCACTTTCCTCTCCTATTACATTATCTTCAGAGCATCCAACATTTTCCCAAAAGGCTCCTCTCTCCCATTAACACTTCTGTGGCCTTGACTGCCAGAGCCCTCGAGGAACAGACTAGCTGCAGCTCGTGCTTTGGGCCTCCAGCCCTCCAGCAGTCCATTTGCCCACTGGGAAATGGTGAAACTGCTGTTCTGTGCCCGAGCAGAAATATGTGGGCGAGAAAACATGAGCTAATCTTCCTCTTCCTATTCTGGTGATGACAACAACAATTAGGAAGGACAAGAGTTTCGCTTTGGTGTTACAAAGTTTTCAATCAAAAGCTCAGCAAATAAGAAAACACTTTGTTTTATTATAAAATCGATTTAATTTCTTCACTCTAAGTTTCCATTCTTCCTGGCATAGAAAACTCATTTAGTCCTTTGCACATAAATTCAATCCAATTCAGTGATTTCTTAGTCCCTTCACTTTATATTTCAGTCACATTCAGATTTAAAATTCTTTCTCAGTGTTTTCTCCCTACCTTACCTCCCTACTACTGATCCTAAATTTCTAAGGTTGGGACAGGAGAATGGTTGCTGCTGAGTGACAGCTAGGAAGAGAATATAATTACAAGTCTTAACATGTCTGGATCCTGTGTGGGTTTGTATTTCCCTTGAGTGGTGGCCCAGATCACCTAGTCTGTGGTTTCTCAAACTTTAATGTGCATCCTATTCACCAGGGTATGTTGTTAAAATGCAATCTGACTCAGCAGGTCTGAGATGGAGACTCCACATTTCTAACAAGCTCCCAAGTGATGTCATTGCAGCTGGTCCTCAGACCATTCTTTAATTAAAAAAGTTTGGTCAGTGGTTTCAACCTGTCTCTCTGGCAGAGGCAATCTATTGAGATTACAGTTAAGTATCCCCTGATACACAACAGGTATCAACAACAAGAGCATCTTTCTGATGCTTATCCCTTCAGTCCCAACCCGAAGACCCTGTGTCTACCCACTGGTCCTCTCTCCAAGGAACTCTATCCCACTTGAGGTTCACAGGAATGTGTGATACCCACCCATGCAACTTGGCACTTGGAAATCTTAAGAAGCCGTTTCCAGCCCTCCCCTAATAGATATGGCTTGCCTTCTCCCCAACAAAGCTAACACTGACAAATGCTCTCCAAAGTTTCATTGCATCTGGGAAGTGCATTACAGCCATACATGGATGGTACATGCTTTGTGTTCTGGAGTGACCCTTCCTTCCCCAAATCCTTCTGTGATTCATGTTTAGCTATCTGGCACAGAAGAGGAGAAGGCTACTGGAATACAAGAGCAGTCACTGGCACAGGGATGGGGGAAGAACACATCCTTTAATACTCCAAATGTTATCCTGCCCGTAAGGAAACCATAGGAGTAGAAGCTGTAGCTCAACAATTTCTCGTTTCATCCAGGCTTTTTATAAACTCCTTACCTCCTTCTCCCCTAAAGTTAAGTACACATAAAGTTAAGAGGAAATATAGCTGTTGGGAAAATAGAATAATTTAATCAGGCTCTCTCACCTTAGGTCAGGTTGGGGGTGGTTCAGTAAACAAATTGTTTGTGTGTGGGTGGAGTTGGTGCACATGCCCAGTGTCACCACCTTGGCTGGCGTCTATCTTGGGCATCAGCTCCATGCAGCCATGCTTTCCAACTTATGGCTTCCAAGGACCTGTTTGCCAGTTACTTAGCTCATAGACCTGCATGTAAGGGGTCTGGTGACCCAGCCCGGTGTGTGAGGGGTCTGGTGACCCAGCCTGGCATGTGAAGGGTTTGTGACCCAGTCTGTGAATGGGTTTGAGAGGTCTGTGAAAACCAGACCCAGCCCTAGCTTGACAACTGGCCCAGCCATCAGGATTACAGGCAGGTAAAAGTAGCCAGACAACTGGCATGGTTGTGCAGCTTTACAATTGACAATGTCGACAGGATTAAGAGCTCTACAATTGGTGTCACGAACCGGATAAAGTAGTATGACAATAGTCAATTAAATAGTACTGCATCAGAGTTCTCTTGCAGTACAATATGATTTGGGAAAACATGGGGGAAAAAGAAAAACAGTTGTCTCCACTGGGTTCATTCTGGGAAGCTCTGGTTTAAGAGTTCATGGATTTCAGATTATTCTGAAAGTTCTAGGCTACTTATTTAGGTAGGACATTCCTATCTGGAACTTTTTCTGAAAGGTTTAGTTCTCTGAGAAGTAACTGAAACCATTTTATCTTGTGTGGTTTTCCAAACCTACTGAGACAGCCCAGGACACGCAAGGAGAAGACACCAAGCTGTTTAGCAAAAGAACAACTTGAGATCAGGGTTACTGCAAACCTCTTCCCTGAGGAGGTCCCCAGGATCTCCATGCCCTTCCAGAGCACACGGTATAACAGTCACTAGGAACCGCCTGCCTGAGAAACTTCATCTTGGATGCCATGTCAGCCTGCTCCAGCCAATATTTGTCTATGGTAGACATAGTAAGGCTTTAATATTTATGTCAAAATACAGTTTTACATATTTGCATTGTAGTGCAGCAAAGAATGCATCTTAATATATTATACAATGGCTGCAATTACTATGCTTGTTGCTGAGGAGAGAACAATACCAAGAGGTTTTTTGGTAACATAAAAATAGACAAAAAGGAACATAATAAAACAAAGTAAAATTAAATTGCTTGTAGACAGGTATCTACTAAACTCTAATTCAGCGTGCATATATACCTTGAAATTTTTATTTATTTTAATGTTTTCTAAAATATGTTCCTTGAACTAAAAAACTTGTCATTCATTCATTTTCAGAATTGCATGATATATAAAATCACCAGTAAATATTTACCTGTATATATCTTTTCAGTTTTTGAATATGTTTTTGAAAAAGGAATTCTTTTTCGCCAGGCTGAAGGATTATATGATGGGGATGTATATTTGTCTGAGAAAAAAAGAAGACTGGAATTAAATATTTTATAACTTAAAATCATATTCCAAGGGTGTTTCAAAGTTATAAACCTCTCAGGGGTGAAGCTATTCTTTAAGTAATTCATTTTACCATTTCAAAGCTAAGGCATCAAGGATACAAGTGAGTTTATTAAGCCGTTTAACTTATCAGTGAACATGGTTACAGATCTCTTAATTGGCCATCGCATTCCTCAAATAAGGCTCACTCCCATGAGGCCAAGACAGAGGACAGTATGATATCTGAACATAATAAAAATATTTCACTGCCTTGCTTTACTAGGATTTTACGTAGAATTCTGCTAGTATTTGTAGAGCTTTAAAAAGAAAGAAAAAATCCTATGAAGTACAGCCCTAGTCCATTTCCTTCCATAAAGTGACTTTCATGATTACTCTGAAACAGTGAACTCACTGCCCCACGTAACCAAAGCATTTATGTACTGACCTGGTTCTTAAATACTTTTCTCTGACTCCTCTACATTTCAACTATTATCGAACAATATTATACTTGTGTTTTCAATTATTACTATGCAGCTGTGGTTCTCAAGGCATGGTTCATAACAATACCAAGAATTTGCTTTTTTTCCCTGTGTTGACATTTGCACTAAAGTTGTAAAAGCAACATAGGGTATAACTACTGGCACCTTCACACAAATACAGACTTCAGCAAAAACTGTTCTAATACTCATTGTATTCTTCACAGCAATCTACTTGCAGTAAAATAAAAACGTTAACAATAATAAATAAAAGTAATGGTAAGATATAAAATTAAAAGCCTGTTTCACTAAGAATATCTTTATTTACATACATGATACCTATATATCATTCTATTCTAGAACAAATAGAAAAATAATGTAAATAAAGCTAACTTCTATTTAAATCATAAAAGAAAGAAACTAGGAAAGACATAGAGTCTTTACTTATATTTCCCAAAGTACACAACTGGGAAAATACAAACACACTGTGAACTGGGAAGATACAAACACAGAATTATACAGAATTGAGTAGCATTTTGTTAAGTTGAGAGAACTGAAACCCAACTCCGAAAGAGCTAAATTCTGAGAAGGGAAGAAAAAGAGATTTGGTTTCCTTCTCCCCTGTGGCCTTGTATTTCCTGACAATATACTATGACTTTGCCTATTACATGATGAAATGATTTAAGAGCAATCTGTGCATGGTGGGAGAAATGAGAGGTTGACAAAAATATTGCCATTAACCCCCAAACTAACCCTTTCAGACAGTAATCACAAAGGCCTAAAGAAAAGCCACGGCACTAGACTGACAATAATAATTGAACAATGCAGTTCATGGAACAAGAAAATGTCAACCATTTAAAAACAATCCTCCAGAATGAAATAAAGCTATCTGGGGGGAACAGAGTGCAATGCTCTGAGACAGAACCCTGGGGAGGTACAATGTCAAGTCATCTGCACCCGAGTTTTCTTACACATCCTTTAAATCATGTGCACTTCTGTACACAGAAGAAATCCTCTCCCTAGCCTCTAAGATGCTATGGTGGTGATGTCCTAGGAAAAGAAGAAGGGAGTGGATAGCAGTGAAGATTAGTCCAAGCCATTGGGAAACTCCATGGGAATGCAAATCACAGACAGGAGTAAACCACATCAGTAAAGAGCCTCACCTGGACAGAGGTTGAGTTTGGGTTCCTTGTTTACAACAGCTTTATTATAGAATCCATTTGTGGGTCTGCTGCGGGGAGGTGCATTCAATGAGACAGTCCTGACAGCATTTCTCTGAACATGGATATAGGATGCATTTTCAGCATTTCGGTTTTTATTATTGCGATGGTAACTCACTTTATTTTGGGGATTTGAAGACTGTACTGCTGCAAAAGAAAGTGGGGAGAGAGGGAGGGATAAGACAAACGAGTTTCACACCCATAAATAACATATTGCAGTTTAAGTATTTGATAGCACAATGGAAGATAATGTAAGCTAAAAATTAAGTTTGGAGGAGCTGGGTTGACATCTAAAATAACATTTATGCTGCATGACAATGATTTATTTTTCAGGTAAAAAATATTTGCTATTTAATCTCTTTTCAAATTATAATTTAGAAATGTCAAATACAGGGATGCTTTACCTCTCCGCATTCCAGGACCAGGAAAGTTCTTTGGTTCATCATAAATCCATTTTCTTTTCTTCACACCTTTAAAATGAGGCTTCCTCACTGGCTGGACATTGTTCACTTAGAGAAGATATAAATTTTTACAGTTTTTGAAGAAATGCATTCATCTGAAAATTACTGTAGGTGATAATTACATATCTGTGCATTCACATGTCAAACAAGAGAAGAAACTAAATGTACCACTCTGATACTTTATTTTCTAGAACAAAGGGTGATTTATTTTTAAGTGCCAGAAAAAAATCAATCTTGGAAATAGATTGATGAGAAAACCTTCAATAAGTAGCTTTCCTCAGAGAAAAATTCTTTTCTCCAAAGGAATGTGTGGATTCTTTTAAAAGAACATAAAATTGCATTCTAAATATAATTATAAATCTCATTATAATGTTATTATTAAGTAGTTTCAGAATTGTTATCTTCAACATAAATCTTTTTGTACTTATTTTAGGCAAAACTCCTTTTCTTAAGATATTGGATAAAGGTAAAATAGTGAATTTTACTTTATATTTTTAAGGTCTTAGGAAGGTGAGCATACAGATAGTTGGGTCAAACAAGACACAACAATGAGAATTTGTAAGTACTAAGATCATTAAATTTTTTGCTTTTTACTTGCAAATTTTTACATCAAAAATTTTATATGCATTCTCAATTTTCCAGGAATTCTAAGGTACATTTCTCCAGAGAATCTTAAAACAATTTGGTAGAGAAGGGCATTCTGTTATTTATCCATGTGGGGCTCCTGAACATTCACAGTGACTACTGCACAGAGAAAATAAACACCAAGTGCACATTAGCTCTCTACAATGGACTAAGAAATCTGTTTTTACCCTTGCTCCAACCTCAGCTTAAGCTTTAAGCCCTCGATGAAGTGCTAATAATTCACCTCCTCCTCAAACATCATGTGCCACCTCCATTTCCAAGCTCCAAGTTCCAGGATTTGGAAACCGTATTTTTAATAAGCACCACAAAACTGAACTACTTGGGGGCTAGCTGTCATGGTTCCCTTCAGTGCATGGCTGAGATCCAAGAATATTACAGGTGTTCAATAAGTGAATAAGGACTGAAGAAAGGAGGGAAGGAATCAGGAAGATGCACAAGTCTTAATTGTATCGAGAAGTAGCTCAGAATGTCAAGGACAAGCCAAATCAAGAAAAATAATCCAAAACTAATAAAAAGCTGTCAATATGTTCCTCTATGGGTGAAATTTAAAATATTATACTAGTGAACTTTCCAAGAAGGAAGAATATTATTAATTTTAATAACTAAATTAAACTAGTGGGAAAGCATATAATTTACTAGGACCTACATCTCAATTCATTATCAGAGTTAGTAGAAAAATACTGTCTTTAATTCTTAACTCTGAATAATTTTCAAATCATTCTTTTTCCTTTTCTTTTTAAAATTCTATTTTTAATAAGCAAAAGAGATCCATTGATAAGATGAATATACGTAAGGCCAAAAAGTGATAGAGCTAGTGTCTCACTTGAAAAGGAGTCCCCTCTGCACTTCATACTGATATTCTCAGTAGCATTTAATACATGTGTTGCAGATACTAGTCGGGTAGTTAGGGAACACTTTGGATGAGGACTGTCCTTGTTATCTTTTAAAGCAAATTAAGAAAATAAAATGTCAATATTAGAAAAAGAAGCATTTCAGTTGGTATTTCACTATTCAAACATTACATAATGGGCACACCTCTTTAAAATATATATATGCATATTATCTTTTTAAAATCATCATTAAAATTCCCTAGTTGCCACATTGATCCCCAAATTCATCACTAACAAAACTTAAAAATTTAGAACTACAGCCTTTATCTTCAATATGCAAATGATTTAGTCACAGAAATATTTTTAATATCTCTGTACAAAAGAATTAAAAGGTTATCAATTTTATAACAAATGGATCCATGTAAATTGGGGTTCCAAAAATATTTTAAATATATTAACTTTCATTTGTTCTATGCTTTGTAGCAGGAGTATTCAACAAGGGCTTTCCACAATGATGGAAATGTTCTAACTCTGTGCTGTCCAATATGGTAGCCACTGAGCACTTGGAATGTGGCTAGTGCAACTGAACAATGGAATTTTTAATTTTATTTAATTTTAATTAACTTGAATTTAAACAGTCACACATGGCTGGTGGCTACCATCTTAGTATAGCTTTAGAATTTCTCCGATGGAGTAGGCAAAAGTTTTCCATCCCTGAGTGGCAGAGAGAGAGAAAGAGAGATTTATATAGTATTTTACATAAAAATACTTTAATTTGATCATGAGTGCCTTGTCCTATGCTTGAGAATATTTAACAGTGGGGAAAACGATAAAGGAAATGCATGTGTACTTTGATGGAGAGTATGTGAGACCCTCTAATTACAGAACAGCTATACTTTTTTTTTTTTTTGTCTTTTTCCGTGTCCGGCAACGGATCGCAACCCTTAGTGTTGCCCCCGTACCAGACCGGGGACTGGCAACGAGATCGCAACCCTCGGCGTTGCTCCCGCGCCTCGCTCAGCCAGTGAGCGGGAACCGGTCAGAACAGCTATACTTTTAATCTGTGACCGAGATAGGTGCCCACAGAGAGGTACCAGCTGAAGTATTCTCAGCACAGTAAGGGCGTAAGACTATAGAGGAAGGATTTCATCATATCTAGCTCTTGATTATTCATAGATTATATTTAGCAATAATTATAAAATAGGGAAGTCATCACAAGATTAATACTGTTCAATGTGTTCACAATGTTTCTAACAAAATGTAGTCATACTGATATTATTAGTAGAAAATGAGACTGAAAAAGACTTGGTATTACCGTGCAAGAGAGCCAATGACTTTAGAGCTAGAAATACTCCTAGAAATTATGTAGTGCAACAGGATAATTTTCAGATAAGAAAACTAAGGCTAAAAAGATGAAATCCCATGGTCAAACAATAAGGGACAGAGCCAGGACTGGAACCTTAGGGCTCTTAACTCCTTTTCAGCGTATACTCATGTTTTGATTTATCACTGTTCTTCTTATATTGGATTTTACAAGACCTAGCTTCATGTTTAACTTATCTGTCCAAATTAAAAATCGATCAAAACTATAGAAAAATTATTTACCTTTAGTATTCGAACATTTTGACTCGGTGATTTCTTTCTCTTCTTTTAAAGCTTCACTTTCATCTACTCTAAGAAATATGATCCTTCGTGGAATGTAACAGTCACCTCCTATGAAAAAAACCTTACTGTCAGTGGCGGCAATGGCAAAAAGTGCTACAAAACTGCCTTTCAATACAGGAAGATTCTCTACAATATTTCTTTTGTCCCCTTCTGTTTAAACACTTCTCAGTAATACCATTCCCATCTCTCTACATATCATATGTGCTTAGATTAATAAATGTGTATTAATATACATGTATGTCAATACCTAGTATGTAAACTAATTGCAAAAATGTTCACATATTCAGCAAAATTAATTTTCTTTTAACTTCCAACAATCTTCAGTTCCACTCTTTAGAGATACTCAAGGGTAAATGTAACTTATCTGTCATATAACATCTTCAGATTTCTGAAAGTAGTTTTCTTTTTCCTTAAAGATCTTTTTCTCAGGAAAAATCTTCATAGCTGCTTTAAATATTACTTATGTACAAACTCTCCAGATCCTTCATTATACAAGTTACCCTTTTTTAACATAAAATATTTGTTTCAAATAACCTTCTTTAATAATGTGAACTAACTTGTGGAGGAATCAGCGGATCTAGTCTAGTAACAGTTGACATTTATGCAGTATTTTTATATGTGCCAACCCCCTACTGAGTATTTTAATTTTGTTGTTGCTATTGCTGTTGTTGTTTGTTTTTGGTAGCTGGCCAGTAAGGGGATCCAAACCCTTGACGTCGATGTTATTAGCACCACCCTCTAAGTGAGCTAACCAGCCAGCCCTCTACTGAGTATTTTAAATGGCTTATCACTTTTAATTGTCTTCCTATACAACTTATAATTCAATATGAGTTTACCTTAGCTATTTGGTAGTGAAAACGCATTACCGAACTGTTTTGAAACACAGTAGCCAACAAAAAAAACCACTTTTTTTCCTTCACAAACTATATCATGTCAGGCTTTTTCCAGCTTGAAGAAAAGCCACCATTACTGTCTTGAACCTAAATGAAAACTTTATGTTTATCACTGTTTGGCTTTGCCTTGTTATATTTGGCTAGTTGTTCTAGCAAATTAATTCCAGACGTCTGTAAATTTTATAAACGTGTCTCTATTCACCCATTCAACAGATTTAGACATGTAATCATTTATTCTACAGTATTTACTGAGTGCACATCATGTGTCAGACATTTTACTACAGAGAGTTACTTATAGTAATTGATTATATATGGTTCCTGGCCTCAAGGAGCATCCACAAAACCAATGATTAAAATGTCAGAATGAGTTTTGGTTTCAGCCATGACCAAATGGTTTATGTCAGAATAACTTTCCTGCCAAAAACAATTATAAAATACCAAAACAAACTAATAGGAAAATAACCCAATGCATGCATGGTACTGTAATGCTGAGAGCAATGGAGGCACACAAAGTAACTTCCACATTCACATTCACCCTGGCTTTTTCCCTGACTGATTTACACACACTCACTGCAGATTTTTTTCATGAAACATTTCTAATTCATTGTTCAGGGAAATACGTGCATCCCAAGCAGAAAGGGACCAACCAACTAGGCTAAAAGCAACAGCCCAAAGTTTGGGTTGCTTCAGTGGCTTGAACTTGAGGGAAAAATCTGAAAGAGGAAGAAAAAACAAGAAAGTTCTCCTGAGATATGTATAAAATTCCCTTTAAATTGTTGCCTGACTCCCACACTTTTCATGCACAAAGTGGGGCCCTCAGAAACTGGCAAAAAGAGCCTGTCGACACTAAATAACTGATCAGAGATTTCAGCAGCAGCATACTGCTGGGGAGTCAAAATTTGGAGTTCAAGCTTCACCAGGGTAAGGAGATCTTAGCAAAAACATCCCAGGCTTTCAGTTGATAATCTGAAAAGGCAAAGTTTTAGGAGTAAGGGCCTTGTCCTAGAAATACGAAATAGACCTGCAATGAAAGGGCAAAAAGCACATCGTCTACTACATCATCCCTTATAAAGCCTAAAATCAGGCCTTGACAGAAATAAGGTGGCCTGCTGATAGTCTAGCTGCCTGCCAAAATTAAAAGTTTCTTTGTAGGAAAACAACGGCTTTCATACACTATATAATTTTTTATTCATAATGTCCAGCATCTAATAAAAAATTAGAAGGCATACTAGGAAACAGAATAACTGATCAAAAACCAGAGGAAAATGAAAGAGATCCAAGGATTATCAAACATGAATTTAGAAAAAATAATGTGACTAATATCAAAATAAAATACTAATGGGGAATTTAAGAAGGAAATCCATTAAAAGGTCAAATAGAAATTAAGAATTTAATATATGGATTTAAGAGCAGAGAGGAAGAGAATTAGTGAATAGGACAGAGAGTTGGCAGAAAATGTACAGATTTATCCAAACTAACTAACAAAAAGACTATTACAAATGGGCTAGAGACTTAAAAACACACTTGACAAAAATGAAAATATCAAAATAGCCAATAAGTTTATGAAAAGGTGCTCAACATTATCAGTCATCAGGAAAATATAAATTAAATTACAGTGAGATACCACCAACCACCAACCGGAATGGCTAAAAATTTAAAGGACTGAAAATACTAAGTGTTGGTAAAGATACAGAGCAAGCTTACCACAAATAAAATGAATGCATATGCCCTTTAGAAGGCATGTACAAGAATGTTAATTATAGCCCCAAACTGGAAACAACGTCCATCCAACCCCATATCAATGCTCATGGTGTTCACAGTCTTTTGCAAACATATGCAGAGTGGTAAAAAACTTGGGTCACTGGACCCACACATTCCTAGCTGGGGTACAAAAATGTAATATGCTGGGCATTCTTGTTTCAGTTTTCATACAGAGATGACCAGAGAATGGAGACAGTAGGGGAAAGCACAGGATAGTACAGAAACTCTGGCTCTGGGGCCAGGTGGATGAAGTTTGAATCCCAGCTCTGACACCTATAAGTGGAACAGCCACAGGAGAGCCACTTAACACTTCTGAAATTTGTTTTCTCTTTTGTAAAATAAATAAAACCATCAGGATGAGTAATTTCTAGGATTTAAAATTATAATCTATGTGTGATAAGTATGTGTATTACGTGTGTGTGTTTGCGTACATATTTCCCCTAGGAGCAATAGTTCAGTATTTACTAATTCAGTGTTCATGTCAACTTTACAGAACATAACTACTGGGAAAAATGAGAATCAACTGTGTGTAGATGTGTGTGCATCAACTGTGTGCGTGTATATATTTTTTTACATATATAGAAAGAGATGTGTGATATACACACATATACACCATATATCTCTATGTCTCAACATAAAATTATACAGCAGTGTAAAAGAGCTACTGCTACAATCAACAGCATGGATCAGTCTAATGCGGTTAAGTAAAAGAATCCAAACTAAAACAGTTCAAACTGTAAATTTCCACCTATATAAAGGTCAAGAAATGCAAAATTAACCTATGATAACAGATATCAGAGTAGTGTTTACCATTAGGAAGGGTCTATTCACTTGGAGAGGAGGAGCCCTCTGTATTACTATAAGTATGGTTATATTGATGCATATGCATGTAAAATTTTATCGAGCTATATACTTCAGATTTGTGTACTTTATTAAAAGCAAAGCTCAATAAAACATTGAAATATTATTAAGACTAAAAACAATGCCTCAAGTGTTTTCCTTCAAGTTGAATATTGAGTCATTAATTATAATTTTAATTTTTGATCGTCTTCCTTTCAAAAATGTCTTATTAATATAGGGATCTAAATATGTTTATGTTGCTCTCATACACATATATAGGAGATTCTTCTATCCAGTGACTTACAGAATATTACAGTGCCTGGAAAATCAACAAGCCTGACTATGCCAGAAACACAGTATCCCAGATGATGGAAAATTTTAACATTCTTTTGCTATGGTTCTTCAACCAGCTTATTACTCTAACAAAATTATTTAAGTGTAATAACATTCTTACTTTTTCTAAGTCGCAATAAAGTAGGAAATACATTATTGATGTCACAACATGAAGGAAAGTTTGTTTTTTATACAATAGCATCGGTTATTAGTGGTTGAAATAGCCTTTTACTAAACAGAAAAGCAATATGATTTAATGATATTTCACCAAAATGTACAATTAGAACTGACCAAGTGAAGTGTATCACAGTTTTGTTCTCTTCTAGGCTGTACAGACAGTATAAACTCCATTGGGAGAATCTGCCAATGTTTCTGATTTATAGCTCAAACTTACTGCTTCAAGGCAACCAAACAATGACAGCTAGTCTAAAACTGCTGCCGATTTAAGAAAGGAGAGGAAAGAATCAAATTACTTTAGCACCAGAAAAAAAAGAGAAAAGAAAAAAGGTAGACAGAAGAAAATGGCTGAAACTGAATGAAACGGGGATGGCAGAAAGCATCACCGATGAGCCTCAGGCATATTGGAACTTACTGGGACCTGCTGTCAACCTCCTTCTCACACACATTCTTCACATCAGCCACACCCTTTTCCTTCCTCACAAAAATATATTTTTTAAAACAAAGGCTTAGAATCTTCTGTAAAAGGATGAATTTTCCGAAATGCTTATGCCAAAAAGCAGTTTCAAAATGTTTAAGCTATAATACATAATTAGGATGCAATGCCTTGGCATCACTGATACATGTATTTGAACACAACTGCCTTAACGTAGACTTACTCAAAGGATTTACTAAGTGCCTCCTCTGTTTATAGCTCTATAGTATATAACAGCACATTCCTGATACCTGATTTCATTATAGACTGGAATTGAGCCTAAACATACACACACACATACACACACACATCAGATTTCTCATAAAACTATGGGAAATGGAATGTCTCGCACACTGAAAACAATTTTCCACAAGGTGTTTAGTAGAGATACTAGCCTCTGAAAGCATCTGATTTTGTGATGTACCTCCAACCCCCTGAATTAAACATGAAATAGATAAAAAATAATAATGGAACAAAATTAGTTATGAGAGAAAAAATTCAGACTCATTTACTGTATGGTGATATATTCAGGATCAACCTGTAATAAATTAACTCACCTCCATTTTCAAAAGCAGCAATGTCAGTTCTCGGTTTCTTATCCAATGACGTTTTTATCTCACCTTGTCTTTCAAATAGGCTTAATTTTGTTGGAACTGTAAGACCATCCCCTAAAAATGAGAAGAAATAAAAGTCATCCCAGGAATCATTAGATGCATAAATAAGACATTTATGATAGAATTCATGATGAAAGTAAACAACTTAAAAAAAATTAAGGAAAATATTTTTTACACAGTGATCTGAAGAATAATACATTTATAAGTACATGAGGTTTAAGCAAATTTTATAATTTTCAACAAAGCATCAAGCAAGTATGTCATTCTATTTGGATTATTTATCAAATGACAGTTTTTAAAAAATTAAGCAATCTAAAACTATTGTCAGTTCATAACACATTCAGCTTATTTGATGTTTTTCATGTATTGAATTTTATATTTCTTTCGTTTTTATCTATTCAACATGACGAACTTAATAAAAAGTGTTAAGAGTCACCAATGACTAAAAAATGCTGCTTATACTGTGATAATTAAATTATTCTCTCGGTTTTCCTTATACATCTCTGGATAATTTTCTTTTACAACAAACCATTCAAAGCAGAATAAAAAAGTCATAACAGGGAGTTTCCCAATATGGGCAACTAAAGAGGTCTGGCACTAGTCCCCTCCCTATATAAAGAGACCAAAACAACAGATAAATATATTTTTACTGGAACGACTGAGAAAACATGTTGCATAACACCAGGAGAGTGAAGACATCCATGTGAAGTATGGAGGAAGGGAACAGCACCTTAGAGAGCAGAACAGAGCATCCAGGCTTTGCACCAACACAGGGACTGGTCCAGAACCAGGCAGAGAGAAGAATACTTTTACAAGAAAGTCTCCACCTTCAAAAGCCACTCCTAGAATTAAAAGAAGTTACTGAACCACCAAATGCTCAGACATCAAAGCAGAGATATGAGAAGCATGAAAAAAAACAGGGAAACATGGCTCCCCCCGCCAAAAGACTACAGTTTTCTAATACCAGACCCCAAACAATAGGAAACTGATGAATCACCCAAACAGGAATCCCAAATGGCAATACTAAGGAAATTCAAAATGATGGATGAAAAAATAGCTAGAAATCACAATGAAGTCAAAAAGAAATTTTTTTTTTTTTTTTTGTCTTTTTGTCTTTTTCCGTGTCCGGCAACGGATCGCAACCCTCAGTGTTGCCCCCATACCAGACCGAGGACCGGCAACGGGATCGCAACCCTCGGTGTTGCTCCCGCGCCTCGCTCAGCCAGTGAGCGGGAACCAGTCTGTATGTGGGATCCGAACCCTTGGGCGGGAGCGCCGCCACGCTTCCCAAGCGGCGCACTATCCAGTGCGCCACCGGGCCAGCCCAAGTCAAAAAGAAATTTGACGACCTGTATGGGAAATTCAACAAAGAGACACAAACAATAAAAAAAAAGAAAATCAAGCAAAAATCCTGGAATTAAAGAATTCATTGAAAAAAATTTTTTAAAAACACAACTGAGAGCATAAGCAGCAGGCTAGAACAGCAGAAGAATCTCCAAACTAGAAGACAGTCTTTTAGAACTAACACAAAGAAAAAGAAAAAAAAGAATTTTAAAAAATGAGGAAAACCTACGAAATCTTTCTGATAACTTTAAGTGTACGAACATCCATATTATGGGTGTACCAGAAAGGGAAGAGAAAAGAAAATGCATTGAAAGCCTGTTTAATGAAATAATAGCTGAAAACTTCCCAAATATTGAGAGAGATATGGCCTTACAGATCCAAGAAGCTCAAAGATCCCCAAACAAATTCAACCCCAAAAGGGCATTATACATTATAGTCAAATTATCAAAAGTCAAAGACAAAGAAAGAATTCTAAAAACAGCAAAAGAAAAGCATCAAATCATCTGTAAGGGAATCCTTATCAGGCTAACAGCAGACTTCTCAACAGAAACCATATAGGCCAGGAGAGATTGTGATGACATATTCAAAGTACTAAAAGAAAAAAAAACAGCCTACCAAGAATACTATATCCAGCAAAGCTTTCCTTCAGAAATGAAGGAGAAATGATATTTTTCCCAAACAAATAAAAACTACAGGGATTCACTACCACAAGACTGGCCCTTCAACAAATCCTCAAGAGAGTCCTACATCTGGAATCAAGAGATGTATGTCACCATAAATACAGAAGAAAGAATAAAAACCATGAGAATATTAGATAGGCAAATGAGAAAGAGAAAGAAAATATATGTTATAACTATGAAAAAAACAACAGCAAAGATAAAGGGAAAGAAAGTAACAAAAGAAATATAAAACAACCATAAAGAAATAAATAAAATGGCGGGAATAAAGCAATATCTTTCAATAACAACCTAGAATGTAAGTGGTTTAAATTCACCACTTACATGATACGGACTGACTGAATGGATTAAAAAAATAGACCCAATTATATTCTGCCTGCAAGAAACCCACTTCATTAATAAAAGACACACATAGATTAACAGTGAATGAATGGAAAAAGACATTCCATGCAAATGGAAACCAAAAATAAGCAGAGGTTGTTATACTTATGTCAGATTTCAAACCAAGATAAAATAGATTTCAAACCAAGAGCTATAAAAAGAGACAAAGCAGCACACTAAATAATGATAGGAAACAGAGGCAATTCTCCTGAACTCATTCTATGAGGCCAGTATCACCCTGATACCAAAATCAAATACACAACAACAAAAAAAGAAAGCTATAGGCCAATATCCTTGGTGAAGATACATGTAAAAACCCTCAACAAGATATTAGCAATCGTATAACTAGATATTAGCAAACAGAATACAACAGCACATCAAAAAGATTATACGCCATGATTGCGATCAAGTGGGAGTCATCCAAGGGATGCAAGGATGGTTCAACATACACAACTCAATAAATGTGATATACCATATCAACAAAAGCAAGGACAAAACCACATGATTATCTCAATAGACACAGAAAAGGCATTTGACAAAATTCAGCATCCCTTCATGATACAGACCCTCAACAAATTAGGTATAGAAGGAAAGTATCTCAGCACAATTAAAGCCATGTATGACAAACCCACCAATAACATCATCCTGAATGGGGAAAAACTGAAAGCTTTTACTTTAAGAACAGGAACAAGACAGGGATGCCCACTCTCACCAGTCCTATTTAACACAGTATTGGAAGCATTAGCCAGAGCAATCAGGCAAGAGAAAGAAAAAAAGGGCATCCAAATTGGAAAAGATGAAGTCAAACTGTCTCTGTTCACAGAGGACATGGTCCTATATATAGAAAAACCCATAACCTCTACCAAAAGAATTCTTAGAGCTCATATAAGAACTCAGTAAAGTTGCAGGATGCAAAATCAATACACAAAATTCAGTAGCATTCTTATAACCCATCAATGAACAAGCAGAAAAAGAAATCAAGAAAGCAAGCCCATTTACAATAGCTACCAAAAGAATAAAATACCTAGGAATAAATTTAACAGAAGAGGTGAAAGATCTCTATAAACACTCCTGAAAGAAATTATAGAGAACACCAAATGATGGAAAGACATTCCAGGTTTATGGATTGGAAGAATTAATGTTGTGAAAATATCCATATTACTTAAAGTGATCTACAGATTCAATGCAATCCCCATCAAAATACCGAAGATGTTCATAACACAAATAGAAAAAAAAATCCTAAAATTCATATGAAACAACAAAAGACCCTGAATAGCCAAAGAAATCCTGAAGAAAAAAACAAAAAACAAAAAACTGGAGGCATTACACTACCTTATTCCAAATTATACTACAAAACTATAGTAACCAAAACAGCATGGTACTAGAATAAAAACAGATATTTTGGACCAATGGAACAGGATAGAGAACCCAGAAATCAACCCAGGTTCCTACAGCCAACTTATTTTCAACAAGGGCAGCAAGAACATACACTGGAAAAAGAATAGCCTCTTCAGTAAATGGTACTGGGAAAACTGTAAACCCATGGGTAGAAGAATGAGACTAAATGCATACTTCTCACCAAATACCAAAATCAACTCAAAATGGATTAAAGACTTAAATATAAGACCTGAAACTATAAAACTCCTAAATAAAAACATAGGGGAAACACTTTGGAATGTAGGACTGGGCAAAGACTTCATAAATAAGACCCCCAAAACACAAGTAACAAAGAAAAAAATAAATGGGATTATATCAAACTAAAAGCTTCTGTGCAGCAAAGGAAGCAATCAACAGAGTGAAAAGACAACCTACAGAATGGGAGAAAATATTTGCAAACTATATATGTGACAAGGGATTAACAAATGTCTGAAAATATGAGGAACTAAAACAACTTAATGGTAAATAATAATAATAATAATAATAATAATACAGTTAAAAAAAACAGGCATAGAGCTGAACAGGTATTTCTCAAAGGAAGACATACAAATGCCCAACAGGTACTTGAAAAAATGTTCTACACCACTAATTATCAGGAAAATGCAAATCAAAACCACATTGAGAAATCATCTCATCCCAGTTAAACTGGCTGTTATCAAAAAGACAAAATAACAAATACTGGTGAAGATGTGGAGAAAAGGGAACTCTTCTACACTGTTGGTGGGACTGCAAATTAGTACAGCCATTATGGAAAATGATATCAAGGTTCCCCAAACAACTGCAGATAGAACTCCCATACAATCCAGCAATTTCACTTCTGGGTTATACCCAAAGGAATAGAAATCATCCTGTTGAAAGCATACCTATACTCCTATGTTCACTGCAGCTCTATTTACAATAGTTAAGATATGGAACCAACTGAAATGTCCATCAATAGATTACTGGATAAGGAAAATGTGGTATATATATGCAATGGAATACTACTCAGCCATTAAAAAACAATAAGATTCTGCCATTTGCAGCAACATGGATGAACTCAGAGAAAATTAAGTGAAATAAGCCAGGCACAGACAGAAAAATATGACATGTCCTCACTCATAAGTTGAGCTAAGGAAGCAAGGAAGGCAGGAAGGCAGGAAGGACAACCGCAATAATATGCTGAACTTTCAGAAGGAGAGAACAGATCTATGGTCACTTGAGGTGGGAAAGGGGAGCAAAGAAGGGTTATGGAGAAATTGGGCAATGGACACAAAGAAGAATTATGATTTGTAATGATGAATGTGCTAACAAAACTGATTTAATCATCACATATTGTACACAAATACTGACAGTCAACTCTGTACCCCATGAACATGTATAATGAATTAAGTTTCAATTGCAAAATATTTAAAAATTAAAAAATTTTTAAAAAAACATGACAACCTTTTGCAATGTCTGATTCTGGATTGGATCCTAAACCAGGGTAAAAACTCATTTGCTATAATGAACATGAATGGAATTATTGTTGAGGACAGAAAAGGCTGCAAATAATAATATTTTATCATTGTAATTATTTAATTTTGATATTTATACTGTAGTTATGTAAGAGTAAAGGGGCATCATGTCTGCAATTTACTCTCAAACAATTCAAAAAATAATAAAAAATAAAATTTAGAGAGTGTGTGAAAATTCAAATGTGGTAAAACACTAACATTTGGGGGAAATCTGGATGAAGGGAGTAGAGTAATTCACCGAAACTATTTAAAAATTTTAAAAAGCTTTTAAAGCATAATTCAAAGCAAAAAGTACATATAATGATTTTATAATCTGCTATTTTTAACATTCAAGTTTCCTTTTCATGTTTTGTTTTTTCTTGTCTGAGAAGCACAGGCCTGTAATCAGTCCTTCCCTAGATGGCTCCCATTAAGTCTTTCTGATGGTTCTGCTCTCTAATGGTGTGTTGCTGCCACCTACTGCCATATGTTTCAATAGTTTGCCACATGTGCATTTGCATGACAGGCAGTTCAGATACTCTATCCTTTACTTTATCCTGTACTCATCTCGATCTTGGGAGACGTTCCCAACTATTTCTCTCCTTCTTTTCCCCCAAGGGAGCAGGAAAGGATTCAAACCTATCCTACTGCACACTTTGTTTTTAAGCTCATTCTAAGGGCAAGAAAACTATATAAGCTCATGGCATTCATGGATTTTCTCTGAGATCCTGATTTTATATCCAGAATATAATGCTCTTCTTATCTTTGCCTTCAAGGGAAAAATGTTCACCAACAGTAAAATCAGATTCACCAAAGCACAAGTTCTATGACCAGCAGACCTTTGGATTTGTCCATCAGCATCACCCCTGAAATTGCCCGGCTCACAGAAGACACTCATTCAATGAACAAATATGTATATACCTTTGTTCTGCCACTAATGTCATACTTTGATCTCTCTATTGCCCTTCTTGGGCTAGGTTATCTTTTCTATTCATAAAAACAAACAAAAAAACACCTAGACCTATTTCGCAGGGGGATTTATTTCACAAACAAATAAAAAAGTAAAAGCAAATTATTTACAGGATTACTGTATGGGGTGTATAGTGTTGCCATATGTTTATGAAGTCTATTTATTCTGCGTCTCCTCTAGGAAAATGTAATTACATTAACAGTAGCTTTTCATATGAAATTTGGGTCATCCAATAAAAATACTTCCTTCTTACTCTCAATTCTGATGTATTATTTATCATTTAACTCTATTCTAGTATACACTGTACTAAATAGTTCAGTCTATCACACTAAGTGAAATGTTGCCTTCTTATTTCTTACCTTCTTGCAATTCACTGCCATTTTCCAAAGGCTTTTCCAACTCTTTTTCCACTGTAGGAACTATGCCTTTTGATGATGAAATATCCGGAGGAGTATGAAATCTGTAGTATTCACCTAATCTCCCATAAGAAAAGTAATGGTTAGTATATTTATCACATCAAATATTAGAAAATCCACAAATGTTTGATTTCTTACCAGATTTATAACACATCTCCTTTATTGCTCTTTTTTCTTCTATTTCTTCAGGAGTCTTTGTCCATAAACCAGAAGCATCTATAGGATATATTTGTTTTAAATTAAATCCCCCCAAAGCCAAATAATCTGAAAATTTATAAACCAGAAAGAAAAAATTCCCAGATATTGTTTTTATGAATGGACTACTCTTTTTTAAATTTTTAAAATCAGTAATTTTGTGTACTGGTAAATGTTTCTAATTGCTACATTTTAAGTATTAGAATCAGTCAAGAGAAATGAAATGACTAGCTGTCTATTATGTGTGTTCAAATGAGAAGGTGGAGGTATAGACTCAGATATTGGGATGGTGTTTGGAGGAGGACGCAGGCATAAGATTTGTGGAACTACAGCAGACAAAACAAGTAATGACAGTTCTGTGTATTCCTAAGCACAGAAACTATGGTGGCCTGTAGCTCACAGAAGGACGTATTTCAGGGCAAAGGTGGAATGAAAGTTTTTCTGCATGTTTGTCTTGCATGTACACACTTGCGGGCACCACTATGCTGTAACGATATGGGAGGAAAAGGATGCAGAAGACCTAGGTCCTAATCCTGTTCATACTCTTGCAAGGATTGCCTAAGATAATGCAGATGGGACTGCTTTATAAATTATAAATTATAGACCTCTAAAACTTCAAGGATTAAATGTGAGACAGATTAATAGACATGTAGATAAACACACAGAGGCCTATATGTGTCAATGGGTTTTAGAAACAGTTGTTATACATAAACAAGAGAGGTTATTAGTATCTTTACAAGCACATGTACATATCTGAACATGAGATCTGTCTCCCAGCCATCATACAACAAAAACCTTCCAATCTAAATGATCATAAGCATGTGTAGACACAGAACAAATTAGGAATAATGAATTAAGTGTATTTAATAAAATTAAAGCTATTTTCTCAACAAAATCTGTCTTACTTATTACATCAGAAACTTCTAATAGTTAAATAAGCAGAAAATATTGTGAAGTTTTTTAATGTGCACTGTAAATTGGAGAAAAGGTCTACTCACCATTTTGCTCATCTCCTTCCCCCTCTTCTTCCTCAAAGTCTGTTTTTAAAACTAAAGGATGGTGAATAGGTCGTGATATATTCTCCTGGGGTTTCGGAGGTTCCTGACTCTGGGTCGGGGGTGGAATTCCTTCCTGACTTTCTTTCTGCAGTGTGATACCTACAAAGAAAATGCAACATTTTGCCCTTTCAAGATATATAAATAATATGATCTGTATATTCAATGATCAACCATTGCCCTCCTAATTAACTATATATTTTGCTAAAAGGCAAACCTTATTTTTAGAAAGGTTATTAAACCAACTTACAATAAATATCAACATTTTGCTAGAAGACATAGCCATTTGTATATCTCCTTTGAGAAATATTATTCAGAACCCTTAACCATTTTGTAATGAGATTGTCTTTATATTATTGAGTTGTAAGAGCTCTTTACATTTTCTAGATATAGGTCCTTTATCATATACATGATTTACAAATATCTTCTTCCATTCCATGGGTTGTCTTTTCCTTTTCTTGATAATATTATTTGCAACACCAAAGTTTCTAATTTTCAAGTCTAATCTTTTTTTTTTTTTTTGTCCTTTTGGTGTACTACGAAATCTTTGTACAACCTAAGATTTCTTTTAACAGTTTTATAGTTTTAGCTCTTAGATTTCATTCTTTAATGCATTGTGAGTTAATTTTTGTATATGATGTGAGGAAGAAGTCCAACTTAATTCTTTTGCACGTGGCTATTCAGTTGTGTTAACACCATTTCTGGAAAATACTATTCTCTTCCCAAATTAAATGGACTATGCAGACTTGTTAAAAATCAATTGAACACAAATTGATTTTTGTAAGGTTTATTTCTGATCTCTCCATTCTATCTCAATGATTCTCTCTCTCTCTATACACACACACACACACACACACACACACACACACAATGTTAGATAGTCTTGATTACTATAGTTTTGTAGTAATTTGTAGATTTTGAAATCAGGAAGTGTGAGTCTTCCCACTCTGTTCTCCATTTTCAAGATTGTTTTCACTATTCTGGATCCCTTGAATTTCCATATAAATATTAGAATCAGCTTCTCAAAATTTCTGCAAGTCAGTCAGTCGGGATTCTGATAAGCGTCACGCTGAATATGTAGATCAATTTGGAAAGTATTGCCATATTATCAATAAAGTCAATTCGCGTAAAAGAATATCTTTCCATTTTTTAAGGTTTTCATTAATTTCCTTCAACAGTCTTTTGCAGTTTTCAAAGTTTTGAAATTCTTTTGTTAAATTAATGTCTAAATATTTTGTCCTTTTGATGCTGTTGTAAGTGGTATTTTTTTCTTTCATTTTCAGTTTGTGTCCATTGCTAGTATACAGAAATACAATCAATTATTGTAAACTGATCTTGTACCCTACAACTTTGCTGAACCTGCTAGTTCTAATAATTTTTGGTGAGTTTTTAGAATTTTCTGAAGAAAGATCCTATTATATGTAAATAGAGATAATTTACTTCTTCCTTTTCAATCTAGCTACCTTTAATTAGGTATTAATTCACAATTTCCCTGCTTGAATACAAATGGCAAAAATGAACAGCCTGTCTTGCTCCTGATCTTAGAGAGAAAGCTTTCACTACTTCATCATTAAGTACGATGTCAGCTGTGAGTTTTTTCATATATGTCCTTTATCGGGTTGAGGAAGTTCCCTTCTATTTCAAGTTTGTTGAGTATTTTTATCATGAAAGGGTGTTAAACTTTTGTCAACTTCTTTTTCTTCATCCATTCAAATGATTGTGTGTTTTTGCTTTTTATTCCATTGATATAGTGCATCATTAACTGATTTTCTGAAGTTAAACCAGCCTTGCATTTCTGGGTTAATCCCACTTGATCGTGAACTATACTGCTTTTTTAACGCTGTTGGATTTAGTATGCTAGAATTTTGTGTTTATATTCGTAAGTGAAATCACTCTGTAGTTTTCTTTTATTGTAATGTCTTATAATATCTCATAGAGAAGAGGTGGAAAGTGTTTCTTCATCTTCTATTTTTTAGAAGAATTTGTGAAGCATTGATATTAATTGCTCTTTAAATGTTTGTTATAATTCAATAATAAAACCACCTGTGCCTGAGCTATTATTTGTGGGAAGGTTTTTAAGTAATTAATCAATCTCTTTATTACTATAGATCTACTATTAGTTTTGGCAGTTTGTGTCTTTCTAGGAATTGGTCCATTTCATCTAAGCTATCTAATTTGTTGGAATACAGCTGTTCATAGTATTCTCTTATAATCCTTCTTATTTCTATAAGGTCAATAGTGATGTCTTGTCTTTCGTTCCTAATTTTAGTAATTTTAGTCATCTTTTTTTTTTTTTAGTAAAGCTAAAAATTTCAATTTTCTTGATCTTATAAAAGAACCAACTTTTGCTTTTATTTTCTATTTGATTTTCTATATTGGTTTTCTATTCCATCCATTTGAGTTTTAATCTTTATAATTTGCTTCCTCCTGTTTGCTTCAGGTTTACTTTTTTTTCCCCCAGTGTATTAAGGCTTAAGGTTAGATTATTGATTTGAAATCTTTTTTAATATAGGCGTTTACAAGTATAAATATTTCTCTAAGCATTTCTTTACCTTCATGCCATGAGTTTTGGTATGATATGTCTTTATTCTCATTCATCTCAAAGTATTTGCTAGTTGCCCTTATAATTCTCTTGCTATCTGTCGGTTATTTGTAGGTATTCTGTTTAATTTCCATATCTTTGTGAATTTCCCAAATTTTTTAATCTTATTGGTTTTTAATTCCATTGTGTTCAGAGAACACATTCCATCATTTTGAATTTATTTAGGCTTATTTTATGGTCTACTACATGGTCTATTCCGGAAAATGTTCCTTGTGCACTAGAAAAATGTGTGTTCTGCTACTGTCGCATGGAGTGTTCTATTGATGTCTGTTAGGTCTAGTTGTTTTAAGTTACTCAAGTCCTCTATTTCCTTGTCGTTTATAGATGTTGTTTGTATGGTATTTTTTTTTCATACTTTGACTTTCAACTTTGGAATCTAAAGTGTAGATAGCATATAGTTGTATCTTCATTTTTATTCTGAGATTCTTTGCCTTTTGATTAGATTTTGAATCCATATACATTTGATGTTATTATTGGTATCTGTATTTGATTTCTGTATGTCATTTTGCTTTTTGTTTTCTATATGTCTCATGCCTTTTATGTTCTCTTTCTCTACTGCTTTCTTTTGCAGTGAGTGAACATTTTCTAAAGTAACATTTTAATTCCTTTATTTTTTCATTTATTTTGGGGTGTAGAATTTTCTTAGGTGTTGCTCTCTGGCTTATTATATACTTCTTAACTTATCAGAATCCACTTCAGATTTATACTAATTCCAGTGAGATATAAAATGTTACTCCTGTATGGCTCTATTCCCTCTTCCTCCTTTTTGTGCTATTATTATTACATATGTTACATTTATGTTTGCTACAAACCCAAAAAGTACATAGTTATGTTTATTACTTTTATATGATTTTATATCTCTTAAAGGAGCCCAGAGGAAAAAGAACAAGCATACATTTCTAGGGTTTGTTATATTAACCTTCTTATTCATAATTTCTAGTTTTCTACATTTACCATCTGGTGTCATTTCTTTACCATAATTCAATTTTTCTCCCATCTGCTCTTCTGTGCTACTACTGTCAAATATACTACATTTCTAAATACTATAAGCTCAAAAATACAATTATATATATATATTGTATTATAATTTTTTTAATCAGATAAGGGAAGGAGAAGAAATACTCAGTTATACGTGTATAATTACACAAGCACCTTTACCAGCACTCTGCCTCTTCATGTGGATTTGAAATACTGTCTTGGATTATTTGCTTTAAACCTAAAAATTTTCTTTTAGTGTTTCTTTTAAGGTGTGTCTGGCTGGCAACAACTTCTCTCGGCTTTTGTTTTCTGCAAATGTCTTTATTTTTCCTTGATCTTTGAAATAATGGTACTGAAAAACTGTTTTGCTGAATAAAATACTTTCAGCAAAAAAACAATTATCGGTTGACACTTTTTTTTCAGACCCTTGAATACTAACTACGTTGCTTCTGAGAAATTAACTGTTAATTGTATTGAAGTTCCATCATATGTGACAAATCATTTTTATCTTGCTGATTTCCAGAATTTGCCCTTGTCTTTGGTATTTAACATTTTTAGTATAATGTGTCTGGATGCAGAAATATTTGTGTTTATACTCCTTACAGTTTGTTGAGTTTCTTGGACATGTAGATTAATGTTGGTTTTTTAAATCAAATTTGGGGAGTTTTCAGTCATTGTGTCTTTCATTTTGGTACTCCCACTACACACGTCCTATATTTCTCTAAGGCTTTGTTCATTTTTCTTCTTTTTTTTCCCCTCTGTTTCAGACTGAATAATCTCTATTGATCTAACTTCAAGTTTGCTGACTTTTTTCCTCTGCAGTTCTCAAATTTACTGTTGAGCCCCTATAGTAATTTTTTTCATTTCAGTTCTTGTACTGCTCAACTCCAGAATTCCAATTTGGTTCTTTTTTATAGTTTTTATCTATTTATACTTGCTATTTGTTGAGACGTTGTCATCATATCTTCCTTTACTACTTTGAGATTTTCTTTAGGTCTTTGAAATATTATAATAACTTCTTTAGATCCTTGTCTGCTAATCTCACATCTGAGCCCTCTCAAAGGCATTCTGTTTCCTCCTTTTTTCCTCAATATAGATTATACTTTTCTATTTCTTTGCATGTATTATAATCTTTTGTTGAACACTGAATATTTTGGATATATTATAGCAACTCTGGATATTAACTGCTCAACCCTGGGGCTTGTGGCTGTTTGCTTTTAAATTTTTTAGTGACTTTGTTGAACTATTTTATTTCTAATCTTATTTTCTCCCACCATGTGCAGACTCTGATATCACTCCTCAGAAGTTGCAGCCTTGCCATGTTCACAGTTACCCAGGGATGACAATGGTTTTAGCAGGGCTCTCTTTGACTCTTTCCCTGGTTTCTCTTTTAAGCTATTCACTTCTGTTTGTATCACATCCAGATGAAGCCTCCACTAATTGGTGACTGATTGCATTATTGTTTTCATCAATACACTGGGACATATATTGCTCTACAGTTTGATTCAATTAAGGTCTGACCCCTTTGCAAACATCATTCTTTTTTTTTTAAGATTCATCTTTTTTTTAACCTGTAGGTGAAAACATCTATTAATTTTGATTTGAAAACTAATGGTTACAGATACCTATTAAAATTACTTTGAAACACAGTTTTCAGTGTTCCCAGTTTAGAAAACAGTTTAATTCACTGAAATAAATTACTCTCAAACTCTTTTTATTTACTTAATGACACGTATTGATTGTACATATTAATGGGGTATAGAGTTATATTTCAATACATGTATACAATGTGTGATAATAAAATCAGAATAATTAGCATATTTGTTATCACAGAAATTTATTTTTTAATTGAAATGTAATTGATTATACATATGTTGGGGGTACAGTGTTGACTATCATTATTGTGTACAATATGTGATGAACACATCATTATTGCTAGCATATTCATTATTACAAATAGTATGATTCTTTGTGCCCCTTACCCAATTTCTCCCTAACCCCCATCTCCCTCTCCCACCTGTAGTAACCATAGATTTGTTCTTGCCTTTTGATAGTTCAACGTATTATTGTGATCTTTCTTTCTTTCTTTCTCTCTTTCTTGCTTCCTTTCTTTACTTCTTTCCTTCTTTCTTAGCACCCACTTATGAGTGAGGACATGTGGTATTTCTCTTTCTGTGTCTGGATTATTTTACTTAGCACAATTTTCTCCAAGCTTATCCATGTTGCTGCCCATGGCAAAATGTCATTGTTTTTTATGGCTGAGTAGTATTCCATTTTGTATATATACCACATTATCCTTAGCCAGTTGTCTGTCGATGGAAATTTAGGTTGGTTCCATATTTTGACTATTATAAATAGAGCTGAAGTGAACATGGGTGTGGAGGTATCCCTTTGACATGATGATTTCTATTCCTTTGGGTATATACCCACCAGTGGGATTGCTGAATTGTATGGCAGTTCTACCTGCACTTGTTTGAGGAAACTCCATACTGTCATCCATAATAGCTACACTAATTTACAGTCCCACCAACAGTGTAAAAGAGTTATTTTTCTCCACATCCTCACCAGCATGTGTTATTCTCAGTCTTTCTACTAATGACCAGTCTAGCTGGGGTAAGATGATATCACAATGTGGTTTGATTTGCATTTCCCTGATGATTAGTGATGTTGAGCATATTTTCATGTACCTGTTGGCCATTTGTATATCTTCCTTTCAAAAATGTCTATTCAGCTTCTTTGCACATTTTTTAACTGTATTATTTGGGGTTTTTTTTTACTGCATAGTCGTTTCAGGTCCTTGTATATTCTGGATATTAAGCCCTTGGAGGATACGTAATTTGCAAATACTTTCTCCCATTCTGTAGGTTGTCTTTTCACTATGATGATTGTTTCTTTCACTGCACAGAAGGTTTTCAGATTGATATAATCCCATTTTTTTTACTTTTTCTTTTGCTGCTTGTGCTTTTGGGGTCTTATTCAAAGTCTTTGCCCAATCCTACTTCCTGGAGTGTTTCCTCTATGTTTTCTTTCAGGAGTTTTATGGTTTCAGGTCTTAAATTTAAATTTTTAATTCACTTTGAGTTGATTTTGGTATATGTCAAAGAGATACAGGTCGAGTTTCATTCTTCTGCATACATGTGTCCAATTTTCCTAGGTAATCTTTTCCCCAATGTATATTATTGGTTCCTTTGTCAAAGATCAGTTGACTGTAAGTATGTGAGTTGATTTCTGAGATCTTTATTTTGTTCCATTAATCTCAGTGTCTGTTTTTATGACAGTACCATGCTGTTTTGATTACTATTGCTTTGTAGTGTAATTTGAAGTCAGGTAGTGTTAAGTCTCTGGCTTTACTTTTTTTGTGTTCAGCATTGCTTTAGCTATTCAGTATCCTTTGTTGCTCCATATGAATGTTAGGATATTTTTTTTTTCTATTTCTGTGAAGAATGTCATTGGTATTTTGGTGGGGATTGAACTGAATCTGTAGATGGCTTTGGGTAGTATGGACATTTTCCTGATGTTAATTCTTCCAATCCAAGATCATGGAATGTCTTTCCCCCTTTATGTGTCCTCTTTAATTTCTTTCAGCATTGTTTCGTAGTTCTCATTGTAAAGATCTTTCATCTCCTTGGTTAAATTGATTTCACCTCCTTGGTTAAATTAATTATGTTTTGGTGACTATTTTAAATGGGCTTGGTTTTTTGATTTTTCTGTTAGTTCATTATTGGAGTATAAAAATGCTGCTGATTTTTGCATATTGATTTTGTATCCTGCAACAGTACTGAAATTGCTTATCAGCTCTACAGGTTTTTTGGTAGAGTCTAGGGTTTTCTATACATGGATCATGTCATCTGAAAACAGGGACAGTTTGACTTTGTTTTTTTTTAACAGTCTGGATGCCCTTTATTACTTTCACTTGACTGAATTCTCTGGCTAGTACTTACAATACTATGTTTAATAGGAGTGGTGAGAGTGGGCACCCTTGTCTTGCTCGTACTCTTAATGGAAAGTATTTCAGTTTTTCCCTATTTGGGATGATATTGGCAATTGGATAGTTGTATACGAGCCAAGAATAAATAGAAAATCTGAACAGGCCAATAACAAGCAATGAGATTGAAGAAGTATCAACAATCTTCCCCCCCCCCCAAAAAAAACACCCAGGACTAGATGGCTTTACTGCTGAATTCTACCAAACCTTTAAAGAGGAACTAATACCAATTCTCTTCAAACTATTCCAAAAAGTTGAAACAGAGGCCACTTTCTCATACTCATTCTATGAGGCCAACATCACCCTGATACCAAAACCAAACAAAGATAAAACAAAAAAAGAAAACTATAGACCACTATGTCTGATGAACACAGATGCAAAACTCTTCAACAAAATATTAGCAATCAGAATACAAGAACACATGAAAAAATATATACACCATGATTAACTGGGATTCATCCCAGGGATGCAAGGATGGTTCAACATATGCAAGTCAATGAATGTGATACAGCACATCAACAAAATATAGGACAAAAACCACATGATCATCTCAACAGACATAGAAAAAGCATTAAACAAAATTCAACATCCCTTCATCATAAAGGCACTCAGAATCAAGTACAGAAGGAAAGTATCACAATACACTAAATGCAAAGATAATTCTTGAGGCCAAACTTTCATGTTTGTTTCAATTCCAGGAGAGCTCTTCTTAATTGTCTCTTTCCCTGGTTGTTATTGGTAAACTTCTAGCTGGCTTACATTTTAGCTTGTTGCTCTCATAAAGACACCAGCCTCCTCTTAATTGCTTACCCCCAATCACCATTTTTTTCCATAGTGTTCATGATCTTAAACTTCCTCACACTCTGTTCTGTTTCAAATAAATTCAGTTCTCTTTCAGAGAGCTTCAGAGTTCTCTGCTCTTACAGCCTGCCTCTCCCTGTGGGAAAAATCTCAGTACCACTGCTAAAAGTAGGGACAGCCACTTACTTCTCTTGGAGGTACACTCCTGTTTTATAAGTAGGACACTGGGAAAG